ACCGCAAGGCGATCAAACAAGTCAGTCCTAGAGGAGATCAACCCTGATTTTTAGAAGGCCAGATACTGAAGATGAAACTCAAATACTTTGGCCACCTAATGAGGAGGAAGGACTCCCTGGAGAAGAGCCTAATGCTGGGAACAATAGATGGCAAAAGAAGAAGGGGATGGCAGAGAATGAGGTGGCTGGATGGAGTCACTGAAGCAGTCAGTGTGAGCTTGAGTGGACTCTGGGGGATGGTGGAGGACAGGAAGGCCTGGAGGAATGTTGTCCATGGGGTCCAACAGAGGACTTTGTGACTAACAACAACAACAACAAGGGAAAGAAAAGAAACCTAACTGGCCATTTCCTCCTTCCTGGAGATAGGACCTCTCTGAATCTCTGTAGTGGTGTTTCAGCTCTGTTCTGCAAATTGGTTAATGGTATTAGCAAAGGTCAGGAGAAGGGTAGAAAAGTTCTGGTATGCTTAAATGGCATGATATGAATGATGGGGAATGTTTGGGGCTTTAGATATTATTTTGGGTTTCCCTGTGGATATTCTGTTGTGCAGAGAGCTTTGGCTATTGGGTGGTATATAAAATGTGGAGGCTGGAATCTTCCCAAGGTGATGCCCCCTCTTTCTTATCCCCTAGTAGTGATTTTGTTAAATTCATTCCATCTCCATTTCGTGGATTGCCAAGTGCCTTTTCTTCCATCCTACACTCATTGATGGGCTTGGATTTTCTTCCAGTTCCTGGCCTTGTGCTGGTTCCCACTTGTGCAAATTTGCACTTCTGAAAGTTTATAAATGTTCCTGTAATGCATATTTTCACATTTTAGCCTGTGGGAGAAAATATGCATTTTTGGTCTGTGGTTTGACTATCTTTGTGTAAACATCTGCAAAACTTAAAAAAAAATGGTATGCAAGTGCACAGACTCTGCATGACTCAAAACAGTCTGCATCAAATTTCTAAGGTCAGATACATAGAAATCTCAACTCCTTTGAATCCTTTGTGAATTTCTCTAACACCTCTAATACCAAGACATCACACCTGGAGTCTAAATGTATTATGATCAAATCTATACAGTGTAAATATCTATCTCTTGATCTTTCTTGGAGGCCCATGATTCTGAGCGTGCCTTGGGCCTGAAAGGCTTTAATCCCACCCTGGGCATGTTGGCTCCAGACCCATCAATAAGTTGTTTCCGTTCAATTAATTGACAATATTTACAGATATCAGCATGTATGCTTACTTGAGTCTTTCCAGCAGGTCCATAAACATCTATGAAAGAGGAAAGGGAAGCAATCCAAAACCAGTTGCAAACAGCAGGTTTTCACAGTCATGACCATTTAAGGCCACATAATCCACAGAGGAAGAGGGAAACAATACTTATTCTGTTCCAAGTCTTGGCTTGAGGTGGTTTAAATGTTTACAGCCAATTGTTATTACAAGCTTTGAGTAACTGTGGATCACAACTAAACTGCTAACAGTTTCTGATGGATTTTTATTTCATTGTATTTGTTTTGAAGATGCATGCGCCACCTTTTGATCCAATTATCTGTCAGGTAGCTTTAAAAACTATACAAGAAACATGGTTTCAGAAGAAAGACTGTCCAATTGCTCTCCGGGCAATGGAGTTGCCAAGATGGACAAGACACAGGGGGATATAATGCTGAGCCCTCTCTCTGGTTCTTTTGCTGCTGTCTTTATGAGGCCCTGGATAGCATTCCCATCCCCAACCCTGCCACTCCATTCCCCTGCACCACCACCTCCTGCTTCATTGCTCTTTTCAGAGTAATTTTGAACATACATACCTGGAGTGGGACAGGGGAGGGGGATTGTGCATGTTGCTACCATGCATTTAGGGACGGGTCGGAACAGGGCCAGTGCAGGACCAGCTCCATGTACCTCATGCTCTTTCCATGCAGTTGGGAAGCCTGAGAAAGTACCATCCTGATCATTAGTGTGGCCAGAGTCCAGCACACATTCAGATGTACACAGAGTCTCTATTCTGACTTTCAATCAAATATGCAGAGACCAGTCGCCCATCCTGCTGACTCCTTCTATGGCACATCATATCACCCTTGGTTAAATCACTTTAAAGCTTCCAAGCAGATTCTCCTGGCCATTACTGGACATTTGCGAGATGCCCCAGGGCTCCAGAGATGGCACAAACACTCCTGGATCATTCAAAAATAATTCAGCCTCTAAAGAGGGTATCCTTTTGTTTGCAGAGATAAAATTCTTTCATGCAGAGAGAGGAAATAATAAATCTTCAGCTGTCACTTCATCTGTCACCCAGCATGAACATTTCAGCCACCCAGGCACTCCTCTTGGCTAGGGCCTTGTGCTAATCTGCTACTTGGTGGGTGCAAGGATTTAGGCATCCTCCCCTTGGGCTTTCCTTTTCTGATGTATAAATGAGAGAGGAAAGTCTTTGTAGGAACATACAAAGCTCTTGTGTAGTGAGCCACATCATTGGTCTATTTTGCTCAGTGTATATATTGGTTTGGGAGCTGAATTGCCTCCCCTCACACCCACACCAAGGAGGCAGGGCCTCTCTCTGAAATGACATTCGGAGGGTGAGGGTCCCATGGTGAAGGTGCATACCTCTCTCTGCATGGAGAAAGGAACCTGGCTGGCATTAGCATGACTTGTTTTCCTTGGGGAAGTGAGTGATGTGTGAAAGAGGAGGAGCAGTGCCCACTGGGATCACACACCTCAGGTAACAAGGGGTGTCCTTCCCCATCTTTTACCCAAGTCCAAGTCACCTCTAGGCCAGGGGGCAGTACTTGAGATGGGGGGTGCTCCCTCTTCAGGAGAGGAACTTATGGGAGGTGCCCAGTCATTAATGGAAGCTGCCCTAGGCCAGACTCGGCCCATGGGCCAGGGTCCCCTCTACCACCCCACTCTGATCTGCAATGACTGGCAGTGGCTCTCCAGGGTTTCAGACACAAGTCTTTCCTGCCCTGCCTAAGGAAGTTTGCCATCAATGGCTAAAGGTGCCCATAAATTTCATCTATATTAAAAACTCTGTGGCAACTCTGAGGTAATTTGAGGAGTTTCAATAACACAAAATGACTTGGGGTAAGACCTGTAGGAATAAGCAGAACATGAAAGCCACTGGAAATACGGAAGCAGGATGTTGTTCATGCTTTTCTGTGTGTATGTCATCTGCTTCTTGCTAACACTGGGTGCCCTGTTGGGAGTCCCAAGTCAGTGAAGAAGCTTCCACACTGTGGCCAAAAGTGCTCAGGCCTGGGATTGGCACTGCCACTGAATTCACCCAAGGTGGAATGTCGAGGTAAATGTGAAGGGACCTATGTAGGAGAAACATCTGAAGAGTCCCGAGGGAAGAAAAGTATTTCAGTGTGGAATAGTCTGTGAACATCCTAATCAATACATCGCATACAGAGGATTCCTGTTGTATAGAAGTGTGTGCACCAAAAGTCTAGACCAGCAAAGTAGCGCCTTAGTCCTGGAGGCTAAATGTAGCCCTCCAACCACCAATGCTAGGTGGCTTCCCAGCTTTGGTGTAGTATTGTCCCGTTCTCAGAGACTGAAATGCCTCTGCCAAGGCTTCATGACTGGCAGTGAAAGCTTTAAGTTAAAAATGCTAGAATTTTAGTATTTTGGGTCCTCACCTTTTGCTTCTGTCCCCCACTGGAATATGGCCCCAAGAGGTTCTCTGAAATAAAATTTGGCCCTTGGGCTAAAAGGAATTCAACATCCCTGTCAGTCTAGACTTTGTTTCTGCATGACAATCATATTCTCATTTCATTCTCCTTCTCTCTCTTTTTCCCCCTCCCCACAACCCCCACATCCCAGACTTTGTCTGCCCTGGCTAAGATCATGAAGGAATGCTGGTTCCAGAGCCCCTTGGCCAGACTCACAGCTTTGAGGATTAAAAAGACACTGAAAAAACTCAGCAACTCCTTTGACAAACCCAAACAACACTCCTAACTGCAGGAACCAGCTCTGGGACCAGAGATCAAATTTCTGATTCATTGGCTCAGCAAGAAAGTTCAAGGTCACCCCTTCAACTTCCACTGCTGGTCCTCCTGGCCTCTGTCAGTGGCTACAGCAAACCTTGTTTGAAATCCAGCCAAGAGGATTTAGGCTACAGCCCCCACGACTAGGACTGATCCTTTGCAGGAAAAATTTCATGGAACAGATGATGACTTCAGGCATCCTTAATTTGTTTTCTCTAGTTAAAAAAAGGAGGGGGACTCACCTCTCCTAGAACATAAATTAATATAAATACCCCCTGGATCTGTAACCTGACGCCAGCCCGTCTCGTCTCGCCACCAACACGCCTGAAAAATGGGAGGGATCCTACTTGTTAAGAGCACAGCTGCTCTGCCCAAAGGGGTGCTGCCTTGGAAACACCAATTAAGGGTCATTCATAAGCCTGGGTTTAGAATGAGCCTGTAGGGTGTATATACATCTGTGTGTGTGTGTGTGTGTGTGTGTGTGTGTGTGTGTGTGTGTGTGTGTGGTATGTGCAAATGAGAGAGAAAGCAGATGCAGTGGCACATACTTGCAGGAATGCAGTCAGATTCGCATACATACATATGCAAGTGTTTTGTGCCAGAGGAATTCGAGAGTGGTTTGCATATGCTACAGCGTTTTGCACATGTACAAACAGGGAAGATTGTCTAGATAGGTAGACATGTGTGAGTATGTCATTTTCTGTGTGTTTTTACCTGTGAGCCAGACCGAAATGAGCCCTACAAAATCATCCTGGAGGTGTGATGGATTCAAGACAGGTAACTTGATTGTACTGCACACAGGGTGCATGGACAGATAAGGAGCAGAGGCTGGGAGAGTTCCAAGGAAAGCCTTTCCTCCATCAGAGTGGGTGGGCATTCTCAGTGCCCCTAGAGATTTGCCTGGTAAGAGCAGCTGCAGAGGCAAGAAGGAGGGACAGATATGTGTGGGGGCCCCTACTACCTGCCTGGCATGGTTCAATATCTCTACCTTCTACTTGCTCACACACATACAGGAAGCATAGCTGCTGGCATTCATTTTGCATTCTTTAAAACTGTTCCAGTGCCATATACCCTAAGATTGGTTGAGTAAACTGGGTGGTTCAATTTCAGTGCTCTTAACTGCTTTTCTGTTCTCCCAAAATTGGAGAAAAGTGACTGGGAAAATGTTGTCAGCCACACATGAACCTTAGGGAGACTGAATATTTAACTGTGGTCTGGATTTTTTCCCCCTTTAAGATGGGCAAGCATTATGGATGAACACCAAACCTTGCTTATGGACTGGCTAGAAACCATGGTATGCAAACCATAGTTTCATGGTTCATAGAAACTGAATTGAAGGCAGCAGGTGTGGGTTCCCAGGTGGTCTGTCATCCGGTCACTGGTCAGACCAGCCCTGCTTCACTTCAGCAGTGGGGAAATATAAAATCTTGAACCAAGCAAGCCATGGCTAAGACAGTTGAAAGGTAAACAACAAGATTTTGCTGGTGTCTGCCTATACCTGACTGCCTGGGAAACAAAACCAGGATTTCATTATGCTGGGGATCAATCAGGGTTAAAGTGGCAAAACAGTGTTGCCACCTTCACCAGCCCACAGCCATTCTGTTTGGATGTTATCTCTGCATGGCCCACCCTTCTTATATACCCCCAAAGATCTAAGACAGTTTGAATGCAAAAGTCCAGGACCTGGCAGCTGGTTTAGTACAATCATTTATGAGCCAGACTCGTTAAAAAGCCAAATGCCAAGTCAACACAAGGCAAACACTTTGGAATACTGAGCATGGTAAAGCAACTGCTTTTGAGAATTTACCAGTGGTGTGTAGAAATCACAAGCTGAAATGGGGAAGGTATCTTGGTGTCTATCAGATGTTTTGGACTACAACTCCCACAATCCTTGGACATTGACTTTCCATTCTATGGGAGTTGTAGTCCAACATATCTGAAGGGCACCAAGTAGACAACCCAATCTAACATAAGAGCTGATTCAAACTTTACACACATGTGCACTCACGAACATGGTGGTATCATGTACCACATGAAATGCTACATTGGCAGGCCCCACACACCATGCCCATTGGTGCCAAGTGCCTCCCAGGATGGGCTGTGCCTTTTCCTCCTATGACTAGGCAGATATTGACATAAGCAGTGTGTAAATATGCTGCGTGCACAGGAGGCTGGTGACTCTTGCATCAGTGGAGTTTACTTCTTTTACTCTAAGCTTCAGGGGAGCGTCCATGGAGCCAAAATGGGTTCACCATCATGGATAGCTTCCATAAACTCCAAGTAGACATTGCAGTGGATAAGGAACTGCAGTAACTGGCTGTCACTAGGAGCACTGCTATCTGGAAATGCTTTTCTAGGGTGGGGGGCTGAATATTTTAATCAGCTTCAAGGCTGAATTTGAGAGAATTAAAAGCTGCAGCAGAAGACCCTGGCATCAACACGAAAGTTGTGGCTGTTCATTCAGTGCACCTCCAGGTTGTCTTGTTACCTGCAAGGAATTAACTTCCCTTGCCTTACATTCTACAAAAGTATTTATACCCGCACATAATATACTCATGACAGGGCAGCTGAGTAAACCTTAGTGAAAAATGTGTAATCTCATTTCACAAAGACTCATTGTTGCTTTAAAAATGTCATTATTTTGCACGGAAATGATTTTGTATTTATTAAATTTGCACAAGAAAAAGGCATCTATGGTTTTGCAGAAGTGAATTATTTCATATGGGCAACAGATTATATTAATAGAAATATTCAAAGGAGGAAAATAGTTACTGGGAAATGTTCCTATTTGGTGACTACGACAGTTGGAATTATAGAATTTTGTTTAAAAAGAAAAAAATGAACTGAAACATGTCAAATATTGCAGGTGTGGGAAGGGAAAGGAATACAAGGAAAAATAGCTAAAAGAGTAGAAAAAAATAAAACAAGGAAAGAATGGCTGAGTCTTTATACTCGGGCTGCTTAAGCTCCAGTAGACCAACACAAGTTAAATATCCCAATTGCTGTCTTCTGAATAATCATTTGCCACCTCACCTATGGCAAGTAATAATCTTCAGAGAAATTTTGCAACAGATTCCTTTTTCCTTTCAGATCCCAAATGATGAAAGGATATTTAAGAAGGTGGATGAGTAAAACAAGTGTGGGAGGGCTAGTACACTTTGCAGCTTTATTTAATGAGGGATACTGACTTGTCCAAACAAAGCTTACAGCTGAACTGGCATTAGAACTCAGGATTCCCTCTATCAAGCATATGCTTTTGAAAATGTTTTGGAATTTACTGCTTGCCAGCAGATTTCGCGACACCTTGATGATTCTAAACACATCTGTTATACATAGAAGCTGGTCTCATTGACTTCCAGAAAATCAGCTCCCTTTTTGTACATTAAGGTTTTTTTTACTGATGTACATGTACATTGTTTTATGTATATACATGCTTCTTGCAAATGTGTGTGCACAAATAGTGCTCACCAAAGATCCAAGAATAGCTGTGAGGTAGTTAGGGGGCTACTCTATGAGAAACCGAGATTTGCTATGTGTAAAATGGCCTTAACCCATAAATAGCTTAGTTCATAATCTGCAGTCCATTACTCCAATTCAGCAGTATCTTACAGGTGTGAAAGCTCCAGGACTTACAGAGGGCTTTTCTGCAACAGATTCACATGCATAAGAAATCCTTGTCTGCTTTATTAATAGGAATGAATGGGAAATCTAGTGGGTAAGCAAGTCAGGAATCAGGACTGGGGGCCTGGTCTATCAAATACTAAATGAAAAATACCACCTTAATCAATTTGGGGGAGGGGAATTGAAAGGCAAGCTCATTTTTGAACAGAAGCTCACACTTATTTCCCTTGTTAGATAATACATAAAGAAAGGAAATGCCAAGCAAAAGAGCGAAAGCCGTCTGCTGCTACCACAAGTGCACAATGAAAAGAACATGAAGGGGAAAGGAAGGGCACAAGCTCAGTGGTAGAGCTCCAGTTCAAACTCTTGGTCTTGCCAAGAAAGGTTGGGGGAAGCTATCTGAAAGCCCAGCCATCACCAGTCAGCTTCCACGGGATCAGCAGCTGCGTTGGCTTACAGCAGCCAGTTTGCAATCAGCAAAGTTGGCTATCTGGGATATATGCACATCCAAAATATTACGACTGGCTCCAAGTTTTCTTTTTATTCACCTAGAAAGCTCAGAGTCCCATGTAACTCTGGGCTAGAAGTTTTATCAAAATGCAGGTAAACAAATATTTGCACATTAATCTATTTTCTAGCTCCAAAAGTGGATGTTGGACTGAGCCGCAAGATAAGCACTCTGAGATATTCCAGTAACACTTAGATGGCATGTTGACATGCATCTGCCCCTCCAAACCTTCATCCCACACTCTTTGCTATCCCCACAAACCCCCACAAACACCCCCCCATTGGCACAGAAGCTCTGCTGTATATTTATTTTAATCAGAAGCTTGCAGATGCGAATCAATAACATATGTGCCTAATAACTTTGTGTATCCAAAACAGCTCTGATTGGGAGAAAGTAAACATAAATCATTCCATGTGCTGAAAAGGAGCCATTCTGTGTAGACTGTAAATTCAGGGACAAGCCTCAGACTAAGCTAAATATGGTACCGATAGGAACCCTCTGATCTCCGAAGTCACTGGTGCAGATACAAGCAGAAGCATGCCTAACTGTATGAAGAGAACTGTAGGGCAGCTCTAGTTTAGCACATATTCTTGTCTCTGTCATATAAACTGGAATGCAATTGTAAATCTCACTTCGGTCCTTGGAGAATAGGTGCACTTTCCTTTGTGAACACCTATGTTGTAACTTCATCTCCTTCTTAGGGCTTGCTCCTCAAAGCCTCCAATCACATAGGGGCATGCCATGGACACAGTAGAGATTTGGGGCATGTGTCTCCTATGCACTGCCTGTTTGTAGGCTCTGCTTCTTATGTTATAGCACATAATACTACAAACAACTGTACATTCAGAGCTAAGAACATAAAGCAGATATTGTGTGCTTGCCATTCCCTTCCCTACTCGTAATTGTTTGTGAGGACAATAACATGATCCCCCAGGTTCACTTCAGTGATCCCCCAGCTCTTTCATCAAAGCTTTTTCAGAGCAGGGAATATGGAGCATTTAATTAGGAAAGTATATGCAATTGTTTTTCTCTTGTGGAATTGCACTATTTCACTACCACACAGCCATGTAGAAGTTATATAATGGAAAAGCAGGAAAGTGCTCAGATCTCAATTCTGTGGCAAAGCTGAAAACAGAGGCTCAACAACCCTGCCATAGAAGAATTTCAGAGCTGGAGGGGGTCTTGCAGAAAATTCAATCCATTTCACTTGATGCAAGAAACTCAGGGCTAGAATGTCTTCAGCAAGTGGCTGTCCAGTTTCTCCTTGAAGGCCTCCAGTAAGGGGAAAAAACCCATAACTGGTTTAATACTCTGGCGAACAGGTCATTGGCCCTACCAGTTTTGGGACTGTATTCAAAATAAATTGGAGAAACACATTCCAGCAATTGCTTACCTTTCATACATCAATATATCTTCCATGTTGGGTGCCAGATGGCTCATTTTATAAACCTTTCAGTTCTATAATTGATAGCTTGTTTTCCTAAAGTCCAAGAAAGGACTCCAGTCGCACTCATTTGGGAGTAAGCCTCACTGAATTCCCTAAGACTTACCTTGAGTATTCATGAACAGGACTGGCCTGTAAATGTGCTGGGGTCCATATTATTGCAACTCTCATTAAATTTAGTATTACTGTTGCAGAGCTTCCCACTGGAAACAAAGTCTTGATGTGACTTATAAAACAGAGAAATCCATAATTAATATATCAAACAAACCCAAATGAAAACAAATCATAACAAGCACAATAATACAAAAATAAACTTCAGAAAAATGTGGTCTAAAAGCAATCCAGAACATTTCTATTCAGTATTGTAAAACTCATACACCATGTTCTTAGGAGTAAGTCCCACGGTATTCAGTGGGGCTTATTTCTGAATAGGTATGTACATTCACATACTACACAGTAATGAATGGGTACAATCTATTGCTCCAGATAAAATACTACAACAGCCAAATCCCCTTTATCATTTTTGGCTACAACTCTGCAGTTTTTAGAGCCCTGATGGGCTTGTGGCCAAGGAGTTTATGTTTGGCACTCTTATAGTTGAAGCAATGACAAAAAAGAAAAACTGTTGTTTTGCCCTTATCAAAGACTTATTACTTATTGGCACTAGAAAATGTAAAGGCAGCACGCAATCATCCACAGCATTGATTTCTGTGTGGTTCTTCTCAAAACCATCTCCCTCCAATTCCAACTCAATGGTGTCCTGCATTCCAACAATGTTGTCCATACATACATAGAGAGAGAGAGAACCTGGCTTCTCTCTTTTCTATAGGAGCAAGGTTGGAGCTGTATATTCTTTGCATGTGTTCATATTGTGCACAAGGAACTTGTTAGCTGCTTCCAAATTCACCACCCTGCAAATCTGCATTTTCATTTTAAAAATATAGTGGTGGCAGCACCAACTGTAATCACACCCAGTTTTTTGATCTAATAGCTGCACAAAGGAATGAAGAAACATGTAAATAGCAGCTAGTGCTAACTCAGTGGTGAGCTCATGAAGACAATCCAGGCACTTAGGGGCTGGACTTCTGCACCTGGCCTTGCTCTCATCATCTCTGCCACCCCTCCTCCCTGCCTTGCATTGGATGATCAGACACTTCCACGTCCAGGAACTTCCAATCACTGAAGGTACTCTTGATAGCACAAGAGTGCACCCTTAAATACCTCAGTCCCTGAACTTGGAGGCTTCCAATCGTCCGATGCAGGGTGTGAGGAGCAAAGGCTCCTCCCCCCCATCCTCCTACCTTGCAGATTGGCTTTTTAGCCTGCCAAGGGTGGCAGTTTGTTTGGGGGAAGGAGGAGTTTGGAAGAGGCTTAGCATAGCGTGCATCCTGGCTTCTATGGTCTCCTCCTTTCAGTGGCCACCAAGACAACCCCTCTCCCCTTGACTGCTTCTTCAACCTCAGTGGCCCATACCAGCTGCAACTTCCTTGCAAGCATAGGTCACTGTCTCCAGCCTTGGAAAGAGACTCTCCAGTCTCCTATAGTCCCTTGGATGATGTTTAGGAGCCACAGGAATGCTGTATAAATGATGCAGAGTCAGCAAATGTCCTTAATAGGCATGATGCACTTGGGCTGTGGAATGACTTTCCTGATGCTGAATTTGGATGGATATATTTTCAAGCATCAAGACAGAGCTTAGTGTGCAGCTTTTGATTGAGCAAACCACATTCACAGCAGATGCTGAAGGCCGTTGTTTAAACAGAACTCACTATGGACTCATATGCCCTCCATCACCCAAGCCCTTATCAGCCAATCCACTTCAGCTAGAATGTAGGAGTTTCCTGCTATAGGATCCAAAGCCAAAAAATAAAAAACCTACAGCAGACAGAGATGAAAGAATTAAAGCCAAAGATTTTGTTGCAATGACTCTTTAGTTTGATTTGCTGATAAAAATCCAGATGGTGCAATGACATTTCCTGGAATATGTGATTTTCCCCTCCCCCGTCACTGATTCCAGTAATGTTGCAAAACATTATAAAGTACATGAAATGGAAGTGACCTATTCGTCTCTCCAACCTTATGTACCAAAAATGAGATGCATGGAGTGTTTTGATTTTTTGGTGTGGTTGGCCATTTCTGGAACTTCCTAGTGGTAACATTATCAAGAATCTCATCTTTCACTTTTTAAAAAGAACAGATCTGGTCAATAAAGAATTAAACGCTGCCTCCAGAGTCCAACTCAGATGATTAACGAATTACATAAATAAATTGATTTGCAAAGCAAATTTTCCTTCATAGCTTTGAGGGGAGGAATGAAATACAACTGCAGCTATGCGTTGTATCTCATCTTTCAGGTTACGAACATAAACCTTCTATGTTGTGAAATCCAAAGGTTGAGCAGAAATGTATTTTAGCAGGTTGAAGAGTTTAATATATATAGTGCTATAGTTCCCTACTCAGTGGCCCCTTCTCTTCTAGGAACAGCTTTCCCCAACCCAGCAACCTTCATGTGTTGGATTACAACCCGGCTATGCAGGCGGGGGATGCTGGAAGGTCCAATCCAACATATCTGAAAGGCACCGGGTTAGGAACAGCTGTTCCAAAATACATACTTGTTCTTTTAAGACAACGCAGTGGTGTCTCATGGAAACAGTGCATTAGAAGAAGCAGTCATTTGTCTCTTTGCTAAGTGACCTCTGAAAGTGCCATGTACACTGGTGGAGACACAGAAACAATAATCACTCGAAGGAGAGGCAGTGTTAGCCTTTCGCAGCCAAAACTATTAATAGAGTCTTGCAGCGCCTTAAAAGACTAACAAATATATTCTGGCATAAACTGTGGACAGTGTCCACCACAAGACCTGGTGCTATTTCAGAAGTATCAAAAATTTCGTTTGGGATCACAGTAAAAAATAAGTTGAATTGGTAAGGATTATAGGAAAACCCGGGCACCTACCATGCTTCTTTATGGAGGCCCCTGTCGTACTTTGTGAACCACTGAACTTCTGTCTCCTTGCTAATCCTAATCCTTGATGTAGCAGAAGAGCCAGTGTGGTGTAGCAGTAAAGAGCAGAGGTCTGGGACTCAGGTGACCTGGTTTGTAGTCCTTGGTCAGCCATGGAGCCAACTGAGTGACTTTGGGCCATTCACAGACTCTCAGCCCATCCTACCTCACAGGGGTGGTTTATTATGTTTTATTTTAGTAGGAATAAAATTTGAAAAGCAGAGAGAGAAAAAAAGAAAGAAAAAGAGAAAATAAGATTATACATAAAGGTTACCAAAATAAAGCACACACACACACACACCAAGTGTTCTTGAACTCACAGGGTGGTTGTTGGGGGAATAAGACTGAGCACAGGAAGAGGAGAACATTGTAAGCTGTTTGCTGTCAGAAAAAGTGGGTATAAATCTAGTAAGTCTCTTGCATACAGACAATCTTTTGTAACAATGGTGGAGGGAAAGATAATAAGCTCATTTTAAAGAAACAGCAATGACTTTGTCCCAAAACTTCTCCATCTTTTCCTCCAGAGAGTATTCTTATTTTATTCCAGCCATCTCTTGCCTGAAGTGTGTGTACATCACTTGGCATGGGCCCTGCAGCTGGCCATGCTCTCTGTCTTGAGATCTGGAGGCCTGGTGTAACTCTGCCCAAGCACACGCACACACGTAGACCAGAAATTCCACAAGTGAATCATGAGCTGAGCAAGAATTTAAGATGGATGTTTTCTTGGAAGTCTGGAATGCAATTGCTCCAACAGTTCACATGCTTCCAAAGGGGGGACCAGCAGCACCATGCATGCATACCATGGTGAAAGGAGAAATAAAGTTCTAACTGTTGCCATCTAATGCATTTTAATTGGAAGCCAACACTGATCTCTTGTGCATCTCTGGAGAGCCACCAACAAGGTCTGAAAAGGGCCCAGGTTAACGAGGGGCCTGCAGGCTCATGCTTCTCTGCTGCTCTGCATTTGGCATGATCCCATACTTGGTTTAAATGCTGGGGTCTGAAAATAGCTCTTCAGACTGAGGGGTATCCAGTGTCATTGTGTCTGCATTTCAGTCAGAGCCAGCAACACATAAAACATAACAAAAACACAGAACTTGTGTGTGTGAGGGCAGAAAGAGGACACTCAGTACTCTGTGCATGGCACTGAAATGTAAGTTTTTTCAAGTTCACCACTGACTAGTAAAGAAACATACTTGCATCCATACGAAGAAGACATCATCAGTGTGAACAAGCCTTCTTCAACCTGGTGCTCTCTAGACATTTTGGACTACAGATCCCAGAGTTAGGAGATGCAGTACAAAACCTCTGCAAGGGTCCATACTGAGGAAAGCTGTTGCAGATTAATTGTAGGTAACGGACATATTGCAAGAGTGTCCTTTACCTTTGCAAGAGTGTCCTTTACCAAGAGTGGGTTTTGACCCATGGATAATTAGTGTGCCTGCATATCCACCTAGTACATTAAACAAGTGTTGCACCTTACCTCTACACTAATGTTGACATTTCTCCTCTCCAACCTTCTGGCACATGGCAAAAAGACACCATCCATTTAGTACAGAAATATCCCATATATATCTCAACTGTACACCCATTTCAACTAAACGTTGCTTACTAAATACACATGCATGTATTATCACTTAAATCTTCCTGCACTTGATTCCATTCTGAACACACAGGTCTTCATCACACAGGCATCATCACCTCTTAACTTACAATGCCTAGCATTGACTTGCATGTGTGAATAGGGTCACTAGACATAAAACACCACCGAAAGAACTCTTCTCCTGTCTCTTTGAGCAGACTGTTTTTCAGTCGCCAGCCAAAACGACTGTTTTGCTTATAGAAACCCGCCGGAACCAACCCCTGCGAATTGGCAGCTTGTGTGTGTTGAGTGAAGATGAATCGTAATATGGAAATTCTACCGATCGCGCCGTAGATCTGTGGTAAGGGTCATGCACACATGGAATTCAGCACTTGAAGCTGCAAGTGATGAGCACGCATGTTTGGACAGGGCCGACGATACTGGGTCCCGCTTATCGTCTTCCACCCTCCAGGCGAAGAACGGATTTTCCCATGGACTGCCCGCGCAGACCCACTGATTTCTGCGCTCTCGCCGGAGGCAACGGGGCGGCTTCATGCATACGCACGGACCGAGGGACTCGCATGGTAAGCCACGCATTCGGCCCGGACGGCAACAAGGAACGCCGCCCCGTGCTCAGCATGCAAAGTGACAAGTTGTAGGCACGCACATGCTCACGCATACAAACAAAGCATGAGCCCGCCCTTCTGCCGTCGCTCGGCACGCGCGCGCCTCGCTCTCCCCCTTTGTCTGCTGACAACTGATTTACTGTCGGCGAATTGCTTGCCTTTCTCCTCCCTCCCTCCCTCTTTCTCTCTCGCTCTCTCTCTCTCCCCCCCTCCCTCCCACCAACATCTCTTTCCTTCTCCTTTAAGCCTTGGCGCCGCCTCCCCTTTAAGCCCGGCTGGCTCTTCCCCCCAGTAGCGCTCGCTCGCGCGCTCCTCTTGTGTCTTGATTTGTCTCGCGCCGCTGTCGCCGTCGTTACCGTCTCGTCCGAGCCCCGCGCGAGCCAGGGCGAAAGTGAGGCTGTCGCTGCCGTTGCTGCTGCTGTCGCGAGGCCGTTACCATGGCGGGGGGTTCGGCTCGCACTGCTTCCCGCCCGCTCCCCCCGCCCGTTGGGCTGGCGTTGCTGGTGCTGGTACTCGGGAGCCACCGGGGGGCCCAAGGTGAGCGAGCAGGAGGACGGGAGGGGTAGGTGAGAAGGAAGCAGAACCTTATCCAACATGGCGACGATTGCTTCAGCTCGGGGTGGGGCGTGTAATTATTGGGGAGCCTCCCACGGGGGGAATTAACGAAGGAGAGTCCTTAAGGTGTAGGGGTGCCTGTGCGAAGAGCCCAACCTAGTTCTCCTGAAGGAATAGGGGTGTGCGTGAAGAGAAGGGAGACCCTCTATCCCGGCGGGACTATGAATAGGTTGTCGTTCTTTCCGTGCTCCCTCAATGGAGATCCTGTCCTAGTCTTTCACGGCCTTTATCCTTTAGTCCTAGCAGCCATTGGCGGTGGGTCGGGGGGGGGGGGCGGTTGTGAGGTTCCATCCTGAGCGACTGCTGTGGCTTGGGAGAGGTGTGTGCAGAGATGGTGATCCGAGGTTGCGAGGTGCATGTAGGGAATAGGGAAGATATGGCGGATGTGTAATTTGGGTGGGGGTCTTGGAGAGGCTGAAAGTGCTTTTTATGATGATGATGGGGGTATTCTCATGATCATGGGAAACCATGGCAGGCACAGAGATCTGGGATTCATCGAGAGATATAGTGGAGAACTGGGGGACCATTTTTCTTATCTTGCGGAGGAAGAAAATAATGTTTTATGGTTTAAAAATTGTGGTCGGGTAGATCTGTAATTTCTTTCAGGAAGGCGATAGATTCCTATGGATCCAATGTTGATGTGGCTCTTGCTTCTTTGAAGTGTTGGAGTTAATTTTTGTGTGACAAGGATCTAAAAATCATGTTTTCATTGCTACAATGACATTACAGCTATCTATTATCTAAGTAAATACATAAAACTTCAGAGAAACATTAACTTTTTTTTAAAAAAGAAGTGCAGTATGAGATGGTGTTCTAACCTTTTAAACCAATCATAAGCTTTTAGTGAAACCTTCAGTTCACCCCAAACAGCCTAGTTCTGATTAACCTTCAGTTTAGTGAAACCTTCAGTTCACCCCAAACAGCCTAGTTCTGATTAACCTTAAGTTTTGTTTTGCCATGAACTTAGTCAAGCTCAGTGACTCCCTTCATCATCAAATAAGGAGCTGTTCAAAATTACTTCCTTATTTGCAAACATATTTATTAATATAATTGTTAATATAATTCAAAGAGAGGTGTGGGACATTGACTTTGAGAACATAGTGCTTTACCAGAGCTTTTGCACACTGTACCAAATAAGGACCATGTCCTGAATGCTTCTCTTGAAGATTCTTTTGACTAGAGAGCCTTGGTTATTGGACAGTATATAAATGAATCAGTTAATTAAATAAAAATAATGGTCAGAATTTAACATGAAATGACAATCTTGTTTTGACTTTTTGGGATCTGTGTTGAATTCAGTTCGGTGACTTCTGTGATACAGTAAATGTGTTGTATGAGTGATTCAACAGTATGCAGTTTACCATATGGCAAAAGTCAGCTGAGAGTATGCATTGTATAAGTGGATAAGTTTTTTCCTCCATGTCTCATAGTAACCAGAACCCAGAGTTATCTAATCAGTTTAACAATGGAGAATGAAGACAAAAGGAAGTACTAATTCACCCAGCAAATAATTACAGTATGAAATAAACTATCATAAGACTTAGGAAGTAGTGATGGTCACCTATGTGGCTTTGATAATAAGGCTATGTCCTGCTCCAGTCATCTTAGTTCTAGTTACAGGTATGCCTTTGCAGTACCAGTTGCTGGGAAGCAACAGGAAAGAGATACTGCCCTCCTGTCCTGCTTGTGAGTTGCCTATAGTCAACTGGCTGGCCACTGTCAGAATACAGTTTTGGATTAGATGGTCCTTGGACTTAACCATGATATCAGTTCTATGTATCATTTCTTCATGGGCTCTGCCAAAAAATCTGCTGTGTTGCAAGAAACATGTGGAAATGGTGTCTTCTCCCAGAAAGTTGGGGCACAGTGCTGTGCATGTGTAGATAGAAAAATGCTACAGAAATCCTTAAATGAGGCATGCTGGGAGCTGCAGGACTTTTCTGCCTATAAATGTGGACGTTTGTGTCCTTAATATGATGAGAGATTCCATACAAGTTCCTCATTTCTTGGAAGAGAGAGGATAGGTTTTGGCAGTTCCCCGTTCAGTTAGTTAGAAACATTTAGTTTGAAGAACAAGGGTAGCACATTTGAAAAGTTGGGCTTCCTCTGATATAGATGCTAATAGAAAATAACTGAGGAGGAGATTATAGAAAAGGTCAGTGGGAAAGTGTTAGATGGCAGCTTGCTGTTTCTGAAATAAGAGTTTGCAGAGAATGAAAGATCTCTGTGTGTTCCTGAAAGATGATGTTCTAGCTGCATGCTTAAATCTGTTTTATTAAGTTTATTGCATGAGTTTCTGAAGGCTGCTTGTTTACCATTGGAAAGAATACAGCTTTGAAGGAATTTTGCTATCAATAGTTTTCAACAGATTTACCTAAGGACCTGAACATTTTTCTGATTGGTTTTACAAAAGAACTTTGCTTTTTAATATTGATGTCAGTGACACTGCTTTCCATTATATACCAATTAAAACAAACTAAAAACCCCACTGGAACAATTCACATTGTCCCACAGAGTACTCTAATGTCCTTTAAAAGAATGAGTAAGAAATTTGCACACAATCTGAATATCTTTAAGATTGCATTTTTACAAACCCATTCCTGAATATGTTCACATAAGTAAGTTCCACATGTCAGTTCACTTTTAATATAATTTACATGCATCCTGCTTTTCATGCAAGTCAAAACAGTTAACAATAAAAATGGTAAATTTGCAAAAATAACAAAGCAATAACATCAATAAAATAATAACAGTAAAAACCTGTAATAGCCAAAATAGCATCAATTGAACAAAAGATAAATATCCTTATATATCAAGTATGCTTAGGATTTCACTCTAAAGCTGCAATTGTGTGTACTTATGTTGCTAAGTAAACACATACAGGATTGGGCAATGTTTAAAGACTTTATTAGCTGGCAAAGAGTTTTGTCCTCAAAGTTAAAAATAAGGACAATATGCAAAGTGTGAATGCTTTAAAGATCTGGCAAAATGTATAATAATTCATAAAGTAAGTTTTAGCAGAATTAGCTGCCATCCTGCATTTCTTGAGTGGAAGACAAAATAGAGTCCATGTGATCTTCTGACCTTTAAATCTTCCATCCCTTCTATATGTTCTTGCAAAGATGGCCATAGTCAGCAATTAAAATGAGTGAGACCCACAGTTCTTTACAGCAAGAATTGAAGTGAAACACACGCTTCATTCAGATACTCCTTTAAACAAATAGCTATTCCAGTTCTGGTTTGTTCAGTTTGAGTAAAGTCTCAGATTGCTTCCAGCAGGTGAAAGTGGGTTTAGAAAATCTAGCAAGTATGTTTGGAGTTATTCAATGTGAAATCAGGGGTAAAATAGCTGTGTATGTGAAGTTGTTTGAAGTCGGAACCTGTCTATCAGCGCCATGCTTCAGACTAGGCTGAAAAGTTTGTATCGATTTCCTTAAAACGTATGTCTGTTCAAAAACTAAACAAGACTGGGAAAATTAACTTCCCTTGGGTTGGGCAGAGTTACTGCTTTTTCCAGCAAATGCTGCATATGTGTTTTGTCAGTATGTCATGATAAGCTCTGCATCCAACATAGTTGTATAGCTATGTGAAAATATGCAAATAAAGTTTGATTTTTATGAATGACTATGCAAAGAATTTTGCCAAGCTATAAGAAAAAGGTATGGGTAGCTGAAAGCCCTTTAAAATAAGGATGAAGCTTAATTATTCTTATTCTTATCTGTTCTTTAGTAGTTTTCTCTTGTGCCTCATTATTTTGTATGAAAACACAATTCAAGTTGATGGCTTTTGACTGTTTAGTGCCTTGTGTTGCATAGTCGATAAGTTCAAACATTCCTTAAAAAAAGTTACAACTTTATGTGGATAAACTGGTGTATTTGTATTACTGATACTTTCTTAGAGCAAGGATGTACTCAAGCTCGGATTAGTTATGAATAGAACATAATTTATACTTTTTTTACTTTCCAAGAAGGTGCCACTTATCTGGAAATAGACTACATTGTCCAAAAAGCATTCCTGAACTCTTAAATAAATTTTTAGATAGTTATTTGCTCTGGTAAAAACTGCTCTTGTAAATGGGCTTCAAGTACATTACTGTATGACAGGAATAAATAGGCAGCATTTAAAAGGTTTCAATGAGAGAATTTCCCCCTCCACAAATAACTTGAGTTTATTGTTTAAGATAATTCTGAACTATTGCATACCAGGATAGCAGACAATATTTCTATAATTTCACTAAAGTGAGTTTTCACTTCATAGAAGACAACATAAGGAAAACCAGTGAAAATGGAGTTACAGTCCTGAAATTGCTTGCAGGCCTAAGTGCTGAAATTTTATAAAGCAAT